AGACACTTAACGCTGCAGGGTCCTTTCCATCTTTTATGGTCTTCGAGACTTTGATTAATGGAAAAGTTTCCTTTCTGGTTCCGAAAAAAACAGAGGTTAAAGGAAAGGGTTGAGCCCAAGATGGAGAAGCAACAGAAAGTCCAAAAGAGTTAAACCCGAAGTTCTCAGATAACCATCCAAAAGCCCAACCTAGCAGCCAAGTTTGATGATCTATAATTAATATAACTCGTTTAAAGCCTGGAAGTGAGTAATCCTGATCAATGTCTTGAAGTGACAACTTCTAAAGATTTTCATTGATTATTATGCTCATTATTAATAAATTTAATTATACTAATTATACTCTTAAAAAAAAATCTATTGTACAATTATGCTCCCAAAGTTTAACATTATCAGTTTAGGATTTTTTTTTTTTTTTTCTTTCTTATTGGAAAAAGTTTTACATTCTCAGTTTAGGCTTTTGTATGTTTTCAAATAAAAGTCTAAACTAAATTATGTACATTTCTAAATTATTTTATTAAAGAATTCATAATTTTTTTTCTTTTAAAATTATATATATTTATATTATGTAAAAAAAAATAGATTGTTAAAGTTTTTTTTTTTAACAAAATACTTCAATTATTTTTTTTTAATGACGAAAAATATAATTACGATAGAAAAGAAATGTGAAGATATTATAACTATTAAAGCACGAATGGTAACAAGGAATGACGAAACGAATGGCATTAATCTTATTGTTTTGATTGGATATAGTCTATCGGCGATTTTATTAGAATAGCAAGTCAACTTTTAAAACTGATCTTTTATATATGTATGTGTTATTTGTTAATATATTTGTCAAAATTCAATGTAGAATACTAACTCTGTATAGTCAAAATTGAAAAACATGCATTATTAAAAACTTGGTACATGCATTATTTTAGAGAAATTAAAGACCGAAGATTCAACACACATCATCATGAACAACTTAATTCAATATAAATAAAAATAACATGATAAATAAAAAATAAGCATACAAGATTTAACATTATTTTTCAAAATCATGCATGCTCTGTAAGCTCGAGAGTAATTCTTTAATAAGAAAGAAAATTAATGCAAGAACACGATTATGATTTTTATACCCAAAACTCAATCACAAATTTTCTTATACACCCATTCTTATCTTTAAAAAAAAACTTTCAATCCTTTTGTTTTGCATGTTAGAACTACACAACTTTTCACCTATTTATAATGGTCAAAATACTTGAGGAAAAAATATCTTTGGTCATTGCTCCACTTTATTTACTTGATTACTATTCTACAAAAATAAGTTATAAGCCCAACAATCTTTATCTCGGTGAATATATTTCCCACCTTGAAATTTGTTAACTCTATTTGCTCGCAAATACCATAAACAAAAAATTAGAAATAACTATTAGCCTTAAAATTTACTTGCTACATAACCTAAATCAATAAACAATTTGGAATTCGACTCGATTCAAAAAAAAAAAAAAAAAAAACGACCAATGCCCATGTGTGGCTACCCTAGGCTAACTTTACTTATTAACTTTAAGGAAGATCCTCGATCCATTATCTCTTTTAGTAGGATCTTTCCCCTCATATATTCATCCAAAACATGCATTTTTGTCTTTTTTTCAATCGCTAAAGATACTCCTTTCAAGTAGCTACCATCTTATACACTTTATTTTCAACCACTCTATGGGGTCATTGTCTTTTGAATTAGACAATATAAAACATCAAAATTTTCTCCTTTCATGAAAATTGTGCCACCATGTTTGACTTTCAAGACTCCACCTACGGTAGGATAACTGTATCCTTTGAAGTTTAATTGACTTAATGATATTAGATTCCTATGCATTTTTGGGACATAAGTCACACCACCCAAAGTATAGACCTCTCCATCAAATATTTTGATTTTTACTGTTTCAAGATACATAACATCACAAGATGATGCACCATCTAAATACATAATGCCAACCTTTCCTCTTTGAAACTCATTAAAATGTTCCTTATTGGAACACATATGTAAAACACACACATAATTTAATATCCAACTATCATGAGGAAAAATGTAAATACCTTTATAGACCATGAGGACATCTCTATAGTCTTCTACCATCATTAGATTTATTCATCCTTTTTTTTCCTTATGTGATCAAATTATTTGTATATGTAACATTGAATTTTATTTCTACTAGACCTAGACTCGGACCTTCCTCTCCGAAATCACCTTCGGTTAATCTTCATTTCCAATCACCGAGTAAAGAGTTATATTTTTTTTTATTTGAATTTCTTTGTGTCTCACAAGATAAAAGTACAATCTGTATTTGGTCTAAATTAGTTGTATCCTTTCAACCTTGACATTAACTTTTCGTAATTGATATAGTATACCAATGGACACATCAAGTGTTTCATGAGATTTTTGCCTTTTTTCATCTTCGACTTATAAAATTACCACCTCGGGTGTAACTTATTGGTTAAAATCTTTTTCATATAAAGACTTTTCAACTTTTTCCCATACTCGTAAGCATTGAAACTTAATTTATAAAATTATTGACAATGTTATCGACGAGTATAGAGTTGAATTGTGCTCACACACCTTGATTCTTACTCCTTTCGATCAGGCTCCTCCATCTCTTCTAGCTTTTCATCATTTTCCTTCAATGCTTTAGCCAAGGCCAATTAAATATAGATGTCTTTCACCCTTCAATGACAAAGATTAAAACTTTCATTCTTATTAAATTGTTTCGCATTAAATTAAAGCTTGTCGTGTGTAGATGTTTGTGATCAAAAGCTAAATCTTCCAAAACCAAAGCTTCTCAATTTGTTAGGAAATTAAAGACCAAAGATTTAACACACCACCATCATGAACAACTAAATTCAATAGAAAAAAATAACAAGATAAATAAATAGTGGACATACAAGATGTAATATGGTTTGAAAAAATCCTACCTACTTTACAAATTTGAGAGTAATTCTTTATAAATATGTGATTATAATTTTACACTCAAAAATCAATTTCAAAGTCTCTTGTACATCCACTCTCACATTAGAAAAAAAAAAAAAAACTTTCTTCGCTTGGGTTTTGCTAAAACTACACATTTTCTCACCTATTTACAATGGCCAAAAGCATTGATCATTAGTCTACTTTATTTACTTAGTGATCACTCTATTTTATTTATTTAACCATTACTCCAAAAAATATGAACTATAAGTCCAACAATTATGACACGAAAGTGTCTTTATTTCAAGTTTTATTATTACTAATATTATTATTATACTTTGTTAGTAGGCATTTATTTTTGAATTTATTTTTCCTATTTAGAGTTATTTTTATGTTTAGAGTCCTTTTCTTGTTAGGAATTTAGTTTAGCAATATCTTATTAGAATTTATAAGGCTATTTTAATTCCTTTTTTCGAATTAGATTCCTTTTTTGAATTGGATTGGCTAACACAAAGGCTTTATAAGCCTCTTTTGTGTGATTTTTAATATACGATAAAATATTATTTCTATTGAATTCTCTCAATTATTGAGTGATTTTTGTTGATATTTTTAGAATTATGTTTTTTTGTATCCTTGAATTGATCTCTCAATGTGGTGATTTTAATCTTTGTAAGGTAAGTTGTGAAATCAAGTGATGGGATTGTTATTTCTCAAAGGAAATACATTGGAGAAATTTTGGATAGGTTTTAGATGAAGGATTGTAATCCCGTAAGCACCCCATCCGTGTCCGGCTTAAAGTTGCACAAAGATCATGGAGGGAAGAAAGTGGACAAGCACGTTTTAGAAATAAATTATGGGTAGTTTGATGTATCTAACTACAACAAGACCAGAACATAACATATTCTACTAGTTTAATCATTAGATATATGGAGAACCCTACATAAAAACATTTGTTAACCGCCAAAAGGATCATTTGTTACTTACAAGAAACTAGAGATTTTGGGTTATTTTACAAAAAAGTGAAAAATCAATTTTGTTTGGTTTACTAATAGTGACTATGTAGGAGATCAAGATGATAGAAATAGCATTTTAAGGTATATTTTTTATGCTTGGTATAGGTGCTATTTTATGGTCATCCAAGAAGCAAGCAATTGTCACCTTATCAAGTACGTAAGCTAAATTTGTTGCTGCAACAACTTATGCTTGTTAAGCTATTTGGTTAAAGAGAATTCTTGAGGAGTTGTAATTTCAACAACCACGAGCTATTATAATTTTTTTGTGACAACAACTCAGCAATCAAACTAACCAAGAATCAAGTGCTACATAGAAGAAGCAAGCACATGAATGTGAAGTTTTATTTTAATAGATCTCATCAATAGTAGAGAAATTGATTTGAGTGATGAGTAACTTCCCAACATATTTACTAAACCTCTTAAGCTTTCACCATTTCAAAATTTGAGGAGGTTAATAGGAGTTTGCACCTTGGAGAATTCTATTTGAAGGAGTTACGAAGTAAATTGAAGCTTTAAAGCTTTCGGTTTAAGGAAGGGATTGTTAAAAGTAGTGGGTTTATTTTTCAACACGTTTATTTAGTTGATTTATGTGTTTCAGTTCAAGTTGTCCTAATCTTTAAGACTCTATGTAGAACATGGGTTTGTTATGGATTAGTGGCCTATGTTTTAGAAAGAGTCCGTCATGTATGAGCCTATAAAAGGGCTTCGGGTTTTTTTGAATTTAGTTAATGAAGTTTCTCACGTTTTAAAGCTCTCTTCTTTTGTATCTTTCTCGCTTTATATTTTCTTTGTATTATGCCATTCCGAGAAGATAGCAGTTATGATTACCCTCCGGCAATAACCTTAACCTCTCCTAATCTAATGGTATAATATTATTTTCTCCAAAGACAAAAAAGATCGAGATAAACCATAGACACAACAAAGAAATAAAACAACATCAACAAAAGAGAGAGGAACAATTTTGAAAAACAACCAAAAGCAAAGTGTTTTAATTCATATAGAGAAAGAAGGGAGATTGAAAGATTTTTGGTTTTTGATTTGGTGAGATGGGATTGGCGAATGGTGGGAATGAAGTGATTATGGATGATGGAGATGGCGGGGGTGGAGGAGGATTAAATGGCAAGTCGTTTGGAGGGTTGTTTCATGTTCGATTTGTCTTGAAGTGGTTATTGATATTATGGGCTAAGCTTCAACGCGGATGTCAATTTCATTTGAGTATGTTAAGGAAACGGAAAGAGACAATGAAAGTGAAGAGAGAATGCATTTTCTGATTTTTTCAAATAATGGGGTGGAGTGAGTTTGTCTTTTTCAATAGTTTTTTAATTCTAAATATTTTAGTTTATTATTAAAAACGTTATTTATTTTTAATTTTGGATTGCAATACTGTTTTTTAGGACCATAACAACACGTGTCAATCAATAATTGATGGTTGTTAATGATAACGTGTAATATTAGATAAATAATTAATGAAATATCTAAATTAACAAATTTTAAAAAATAAAGAATTTTAATAAATAAATAAAAATTTCAAGAGTACAAGAAATAAATATAGGGTAGACTCAATAAAAAAACTATGCCTAATAAAAATTGTATGTATCAATATCTTATTGCAATATTGGTAGATGCAAGTTAGTTATATATACATATATTATCTCGAAATTGAAAATTAATTTATAAGCAAAAAAGAGAACTTACGAAGTACTAGCTAGAGAGGATTGGATTTAGAAATTTTCAATGTGCTACTGCTGGGTTTTTGTACAAAAAAGAGACGGTGTGAGAGAGGGAGTACATATCACATTGACTGAGAGAGGGATGCAGCGTGTCTCTATAACATTTATAGTATTATAATAAAGAAAATGTTAACTAAAAGTCAAATAAATACTAAGTTAACATCAAATTAATAATAATGATATTTTTTAGGCATGTAAAATTTTAGGAAGGCGATGATTTAAACTTTGCATTCCTGTGTGGAAAAGCAGCATGGTGGAGACAGTTGCATGATCACATAAATATATTAGAATATCTAATCTATATTAAAATAATGATGATGATGATGATATTTTTTAGTCATATAAAATTCTAGATATGCAATGACTTAAACTTTGCATTCGTATGTGAAAAAAACAGCATGGCAGAGAGAGTCACATAGTCATATAAATATTTTAAAATTTTTATAATCTATTAGAACGACTAAGCACCCTTGCATTTACACAAACACATGCAATATTCTAACTCATTGATTTATGCAAATCCCAACATGCAAGGACTACAGGACTAGCTAGTTGTCAATACCACATGCATCATGCATGCCGTTAAAAACAAAAAAACAAAAAACAAAAACAAAAATTACTTCTGAATTGATAAAAATCATTTCAAGATCGATTCAAAAGTTCATTGATACATGCATATGTCAATTGCATCCCACATTTATAACAATCGGACTTTAATCTGGTAATAATTTTTGTCATATTTAAGAGGGAGTTGATTATGTGTAAGCTCTTAGAATAAAAATCTGTACAAAAACATTACAAATCAAAAGATCAAATAAATAAAAAGAATGCGTGATATATATATAGTGTGTGTGTATGTGACAGTAGATAAAAAAAAAAAACATAATTGATGGAATACAAAAGTACAGTTTCAATTTTTTAAAAAATTTAATGATTTTTTTAAAAAAATTTAATGATATATATTCCTTATCAAACGCAGATACTAAAATATTGATATATAAAAATAAATTTGTTAGTAATATAGGACAGTAAATTAAAAAAAAAACAATTGATGGAAACAAAATGGAATGCATTAGTAATTCAACAAATATTTAAAAAAAAACAATCAAAAGCATTAGTATTAGGACAGTAGAGTGAAAAAACAAAAACATAATTGATGGAATACGAAAGGACAAAAGGGATCAAATACTAAGCCAGTAACACTTTATATACCTAAATACTAATACTAATTTGTTAAAATGATTTTTAATCAAATACTAACTCCAATTTTGTAATTTTAAAATGAAAATACAAATATTATTAAATACAATTCTACAGTTGCAGCACCAGAATGGAGAAAAATGCTAGAACTTTTAAGAAAAAAGTTTAAATCTATAAACTTATCAAAAGTTTAAGATTTAATGTGTGTATATATATATATATATATATATATATATATATATATATATATATATATGTCCAAAGAATTATTTTTTGAAATTAAATTGTTTTTCACTGATCACTATTATCTGACATGACAATTCACTTGTCACTCGTTGTCGAATAATTAACCAAAATCCAATGAAAAGAACCTCATTAAAAAAATATCTAGAGTAAAAGGACTAATTATATAAAAAAAATAGAAGGACCATATTAAAAAAAAGTGTCAAAAAAATATGAATGAAATATGCCATGAATCGTATACAAACACAGACACCACTCGTTAGTCTTTGTTTAAAGGTCCTCTCTCACTCATATTTCAATTATCTTCGGATGGCAAGCTTAAAAATATTTCGCCCAAGTAAAAAATGAATTTGGAAAATAAAGTGGGTCAAAGCCCAGGATTCGACAGGCTAACAAGCTATAAGAATGTAAATTAACCAGGCCCAGAGAATGAACTCCAACCCCAGTCCAGTCCTTACAACAACTCAGCAAATGAGGGGCAAAAAAGAAAAGGACCGTGGGGTTCTGGCCACGTGGGGCGTGCTCTAACCTGCCTAACTTTGGTAGCTGTGAATTTGTTATTTTTATAGACTTTCCTATCGTCTCTGACTTTTAGTCACTCTTTTCAATTCGCACCGTCCTAACAAAGACATGGGCTGACCACATCCACGTGCTTCATTAGTGTTAACCATTCCATGTTACTAAACCCGATCTGTTTATTTTGGTATGTTAGTGGCTCATAAATAACCACAAGTTTAGGCGGTGTTTATATTGAAATGAGTAGTGCTATTCACAAATTTCTCTTAACCCAACCGGAGAAATCCTACTTATTACTAAGCATTTAATTTAATTATTATGGGCGGAAGTATTGACTTTTGTGCCTCATCTTGCATCAGTTTTCGTCTGCCATTACGATTCTCCAAATGTCGTTACGCTAGATTTCGAGGGAATTGATTCTCTTTGTTGGAATGTGAATAGCAACGATATGTATATGGAATGGATACGCACGGGGAGCTGGAAGCTATATGTGGTGACATTTGAGTGGCCACAAACCATGTCCAAGAGTGAGCTTTCCCACAGGATCCTTCAAAACCAACTCCCAACAACCATCGCCGTTCATTAATTAGCTCGGGAAGCCACGTTCTTATGTAGCTTTGGTTAAAAAAAGATCAAACAAAAATCTCATGTGACCCAACAGAAGAAACTTCCATTTTTAAAGATCCTCTTTCCTAGTTCTAGACTTCCACAATTTCTAGTACACCTCTGACCTCACCATCCCTCTCTGCCTAATTCTCTGTTTGTTCCAGAGATGGCTTATGCTAGTATCAGTCTTCTCCGGGTTGCAATCCTTTTTCTTTTGCAACCTTTGATCGCTAGAAGTGACTTTTTATCTCCACTTCTGTCTCCTATCTTTGGTACTTGGTTTCAATCCTTAATCACCATCTTTTATTTTTGACTTCTTGATAATTAATAAGCTTCTTGTTTTTTTTTTTTCCTTTTTTCTTTAACTAGTTTGTACAGTTGCCAATTTTCTTTGATGGGTTTTGGTCGTTGTTAATGAAAATTTATCAACAGGGTTTTTCTTGGTTTTTCAATTCACTATGATTTTGGCTATGACATCATCGAATTGTGATTTTTTTACTTTGGTTTTTTATCACTAGATGATGTGTGCAAAAAAGTGGAATGCGGGAAAGGAGCCTGCAAGCCGTCTGATAATAGCACTTGGGCTTATGAATGCGAATGTGATCCTGGGTGGAAGCAGATTAGCTCTGACCATGATGATCATCTCAAGTTTCTTCCTTGCATAGTTCCCAATTGTGAGTTCTTTATTGCTTCTTTTTTCGCCTGCCCTTAATCATTGTAACACGTACAATAGTTGTTCAAATATGAGTCTTCTGTGTTCCCTTTTAAAGATGTAGCTAGCTAGCCGTTGCTTGTCCTTGAAATACTGACTTTTTAGTTATTAAATACAAAGTTAAAAAACCATTTCAATTCAAAAATTTTAGTGAAATTTAAGATCATATGAGTAAGAACAAAGTAAAAACTGTCCAGAAAGTATGCTAATTTGGGAGTCAATTTACATAGAATAAGACTCCGTCTTGCTTAAAGGAAGGAGAAATTTTATTTTATTATTATTTTTTTTGCAAAGGAATGGAATTAACTATATAATTAACAAAATCTGAATAGGGAAAGCAAATTTTATTTTATCTAAGTTGGTAACGTATGCTAATCACAAACGGTTGTCGTGCTGAGATGTACTAAATTTACTTCAAGAAGAAAACCGAATACTCGTCAAGATTTGATGCTGATGGTCATATTTACCTACATCATCAAGTCAAGGATTAAGTTGCTGTTTATCTTAAAAATTGTTGGATAAATAGACTGAAAGATTAATGTGAGCCATAACATTTTTTTATGATTAAATTTCGTGAAGAACTTTTTTACAGCTTTTACACTTCTGAATTCTGATTGATTATTTGATTATGATTTCCTTAGGTACCATGAACTTCTCATGCATGGCAGCACCCTCACCTGTACAAGACAAAGCAAGCAAACATAATGAGTCGATTTTTGACCGTAAGCCCTATTACTACCAAAACTGCAAACTGTCATTTGTTACTTCCTTAATACATTCTTAGGCTTTATGATCTTTTTATTTTTGTAGCCTGCTTTTGGACTGATTGTGGAGGTGGCTCCTGCAACAAGACATCTATGTTCACTTACAGTTGCTTATGCACAGAGGGTTATAATAACCTTCTGAATATCTCTACCTTTCCTTGTTACAAAGATTGTAAGAGACTATACCATGACTTGCTCAATATATAAGACCTCTGTACATAAGAATTTTTTAGTGCAATAAATATTTCTGGACTTGATATTTTTCTTTGAAAATATTTACATGGTTTTGATTTTTTGTTTAAACAAGGTGCAATTGGAATGGATTGCACAAGCCTTGGTATTTCAATGTCAAACAAATCAGCTTCTCCGGTTCCTGTTATGGCTGACAATGGTAAGAATCAAGGTGAGGCTATCGATTGAAGTCAGTATCAATTTGTTTGTGTTCTTGACGTTCTTTGCAATTTCTCTTGGCAAGGGAAAGGAAATTCCATGCCCATTTCTTGCTATAGTACTTAGTATCTTTCTTTATCATCATATTTTTTAGCCATCTGACTCTAATTTAGCTCTGTTATGGTTCTTTTACATTCTAGAGTTTAAAGTATAACATTTAGTGGTAGTTAACTCCAGTATATCTCCAAATGTTTCTTGAAGACATATGATCATACTGTTGTGGAAGAATCCTAGGTCCTGTCAAGGAATTTTGAACAATCTGCATAGACCATCTCAATTTTGAATCTGTATGTATTTCTAAATGGAAATTCAATCACTGCCCACGAAATACCCAAGCCATGATCCAACTCAAGAACTTGTCTCTGGGATCTGCCAATCTATCTAATGCTGTTAGAACACCAGCAGAAGCAAATATTTCCTTTTTTATTGGCTTATTTCAGAAGTTGTATGCTTTCTGGTGATGAAATTACTGAATGACCAAAAATGCCTGTTAAAAGTCATTGATTTTGAGAGCATGTTATTCCAAATTTCATTCATGTGTGTGTATTTGAGGCTGCAATCAGTTTTGTGCTACATAGCCTGATGCTAGTCCTCCTCTGTTTAACATTCGTGTGTTGCCTCTTCTCTTTTGCAGCTTCTTCGATTCTGCAAGAAAAGTTCCATTGGCTGATGGCATTGATGATGTTGATGTCTGTGATTGAGTGGATATAGAACTGTTAGGCATATGCTCGAAGGCTGTGGCTGTTTATCATGGTGTAATTATTGTGTCTGATGCCTGATTTACTTTGCTATATTTATCTAATATAATGTTAGCAATTATAGATGCATTACGAGGCTGATAGCTTTTTTTTCACATATATGATGAAGACGGGAGGTAGATTTAGTGTGGAGATATGTCAGATTTGGTGGTTACTGAATTCATGTAGAGCAGACATTTTCTGTAGTGGTATATTGTATATTGTATATGGTACAATATTTGGCTTCATTTATTTGATGTACAGAACATGCTACCTCAGTTTGATACCTTCATTCGCCCGTTTATAGCAATTGGGACTTAAGGTGTTCTCAGAACCCCAATTATCCAGCCTTAACTCTTGAGCCTTTTTTGCTACATCAAAGCGCAAGTGCAGATCTTAAACTTAAAAAATTTAGCATCAACCAAAATCCATCATCTTTTCCTACAAGTGGCTGTTTACGTCAAATTCTGTTGAAAACATTTCGAATCTTTGAAAAAAGGCCATGTCTAAATGTTAGGTTGAATCAGAGTGCATTGAATTGCCTTGCAAAAATTGGGAAAAAAAGATCACCGCCTAACTCAATTTATGCATGTCCCTGAGAAAAGAGCAAATTTTGGTACCCAGACATTCGAAAAGTCAAGAAAGTTAATGATCCGCTTTTGACAGTCTCGATCAAGGATGTGTACCGCCTCTCTAATAATTTTGATCTCCGAATTCAAGGATTTGGGTTTAAAGCTACTTACAAAACATTTTCAATAATTGATTTTAAATTTTTCAAACCAACCATTGAAAAAAAAAAAAAACTTGGGTGCTACCTATCAAGCCTCACCCACCCCTCTTCTTTTACAAAAAAAATAAACTAAAAACCCATTGGTTGAAAACAAAGTTGAAAGTCTACTTTAAAATTAAAAATCTTTAAATTTAAATTTAACGGAAAGTTCCTGGTTTAGTGTTGTCATTTTTCTACCAAAAGGTTCTAAACCCGACCTGAGTTGTCTTTATTTTGTTATGGATTTGGAAGTGAGCTACTAACCGGCCGGAACTGGGCTTTAGATAGCCCGAAGCTAGCCTAAAATATGCTGCGTTTGATCCAGCAGCTTTATGGGTCGAATTTAGTCGTTTTATTGAACGTGATTTTGCCTTGATTTGCCAGTTCGCTGGTTGGTTGTTTGTTAACTGTTTTCGGTTTAAAAGCAGTATTTGGTTAATATCTGTTTTGTTTTGAAATCAAAACAAGTGTTGCTCTAAAAAGAAATTGTTTTGCTTTTGAGAAACAAAACTAGGTATCCTTGTTTTTAATGAAAAGCATAGCTGCTTATTGAGGGATTTATCTTTTAAAACTTAAAATAACAATTTTCTCCATTAATTATTTTCCAAATTACACATATCAAATATGCTAGTGTTTTATACATCATTGATTTTCATTCAAACGATGTGCATACCTATTATTATCCTATTTTACTCTTTTTTTTAGTCTTTTGAATTTATAAATTAAAAATTTAAAAATATTCAAATAATAACTTATAGTAATTAGTCCATGCATCCACTTTAACGACAAAAATCATTGTTGATTATTCGTTGAGTAAAATAAAATTTCTCCTTAAAAATTACTCTAAAAACATTTAAATTATTTATTACAAATGAAATATAATTGTTAAAACATTTTTATTATATTATACTTCGTATTTGTCATTTTATATCTCAATATATATATATAATTTTACAACATACTATTTAGCTGATTTAAATATCTATAAATACGGTACAATAACCAATTATTAAACTCTGTTTTTATCCCACAGCACAGTACAATAACCAAAGCATTAAAATACCAAACATGCCCTAAATGTTTTTGCTGCTTTCTTTATGGTTTATTCTGACTTTTTTTTTTTTTTTTGCCACCTAATGAAGGTGGTCTAATTTCTTTTTCATCATCGTGCCATTAGACTTAAAATTGGAGGTGATGAAAAGTAGAGTAATTGAAAACTTTTTAATGTCATTTAGTTCTCTTCAATTTTAACCACATGTAACTCGCGAAGGCACTTTTTTACCATCTTTGCTCCAGAAGATATGCCTTGTTCTGATTCTCGACTGAACGTAGTGCTCAGCATTCCTCCAAAATTTCGTCGCTCTGCCTTAGACCTTCGCAGTTTTTGGGTCCATGGATGTTCCGAAAAGAATATTTTTGTTACTTCAATGGGCCAGGCGAAGCCCTATCAATGATCCAGCTCATGAAATTCGCATGTAATAGAGGATTTTCAGCTTATTGACGTAATGAATGCTTCTATTTCTATGTTTTTTTTTCTTCTTGTTTTAGAAGAAACTCGTTGTCTGATTGAAATAGCTCAACTGACAAGGTAAAAGAAGGAAAATAAATGAAAAAAGCTCGGCTCAAAACCACGGTAAATAAATAGTATGGGAAACACCAAGCCCATTCTCTAGATTCTTTGCCCTGGCTCAAAATGCCAATTCGTTTTTGTCAAATTGTCCGAAGATAATCTGGAAGTCCGTTCTCGGGCTGTGGCCCAAAAAAATATTTTTCCTCCTCGTTAATATCTTTGTTTAAAATGCCCTCTCCTTTTACTTTTCGGAAAATTTGATACCCTGTGTGTCGAAAGGCAACGAGTCGGACCGGATCAGAGTCGGATTTTGATGCATTTGCATCTGATCTGAAATACTTGCACCATTAATATGTTGAGTAAATTAAAAATTAGTTTTTCTAATATTAAAAACAAATTAATTAGTTTGTTTTAAATTGATTATTTAATTTTTGTATTCTTAAATTTTATTGTAACTTAATCTTTTCTCTTTTTTAATTTATTTTTTATTTCAAAAATATAAAAAAGATTGACGAGAAAATATAATTTTTTATAAAATAAAAAAATATTAAATTAATTATTATCAACATTGGTTAAAAATGAATAATTAAAGATATTAACATATTAATTTTATATATTATTAATAAATAATAATCAATCATCATTACTATCATATATTTATAATTATAAATTAAATTTCAATTATAAAGTAAAGTTATATATATATATATATATATATATATATATATATATATATATATATTAAAGAAAGAAAGTAATTTTTTTATTTTTAACGCTAACGTAGTTAAAAAGATAATTAGATTTATTTTAGAGGGTTTTTAACAACTGTATATTGGGGGGGGGGAACCCCGAGGTGGAATGAAACCGATCTTGTATCCGATCAAGTATGACTAAATCGAATTTTATTAAATCTTATTTGATTCTAGTCAAAGTGGGTAAAACTTCTGCTCGACTTGATTGGTCAATGTACACGGTGGGTTGTGTGAACTGGCAATTCATACCTTTTGTCTCAGACAAACTTGGCTTCCTTCTTATTTTTGTTTGTCAAAATAAGTTTTTTAAAAAAATATTTAAATAGTATTTAATATAATAATTCTAATTAAACCTCATCTGTAAGGGAATTGCAGTTCAAAGAAATAGTTAAAAAAAAGGTGATAAAAAATAATAAATATGTTAACATGTTTCAAAAATTAAATATGAAAATCTTTTTGGGGTTAGGGGGGACAAAATCCCCTCTTTATGAGATCTGATTATTACTCTCTGATTCACGGTGACTAGTCACTCACACGTCCACCAATCAATCCCATATCAAACCCCCGTCAAAGCCTCAGGCCCCAAGCCAACGCCTAAAAGGCTAATCTAATCTTCTAGCAGCTAAAATGTCCCATCTTATTAATATTTCCAGTACAAGTGGGTAATTATCAGTCCGCAGCCCCGAGCTAATGACCTGGGTCATTTAGTACGGTGCTTCTCTACCGGCGGTGTACGGCCCACAGCTGTAGGCTTTTTTCTTCTTTTTTTCCCAAACTTAGCTCCTATATAGATTGGACCCTTGGCGATGTATAGCATAATTTTTGTATATATATTTAAACTTAATCGATTGCCTGAACATAAAAGTATCCAAGATGGAGATCCTGTCATGTTCTCTTTATTTCAACTGAGGGACCTTAAGTGTTTTATAGTACTTGCAGTACACTGCCTGACTCTAATCTTTGGTTTGTGTGTGCATGAATTATTGCAGCTTTTGCCTTTCTTGCATCTCTGCTTTTCATTTCTCGGTTTTCGTTTCAAACAAAAAGCTTGCCTTCTTGTTTCAAAGTTCCCAAAATGGTGGTGGCATCTCCTTCAAACCGATAAAGGGCCCTTTGGTCCATCACTAGTTACCCCTTTTTTTCTTGCTGGTTTTCTCTCTCACATTCCTTTCTCTGTAATAATTTTTTGCTTCTGTTTCCGTATTTACCCTTGTGTGATTGATTAGATTGGATTCCATGGCCACCTAATCCTATTGCCTACCTATCAAAGTCGAGGTAAACATGGTAGTCTGATTCGTAGTGTCTTTGGAAATTGAAGCTGAGATGTCCATGTTTTTTTGCTCATTTATGTGACAGCCAGAGAAGTCGCATTCTCGATCGTAGTTTCCATGACTTTATTAGTGCTGCTAAAGCCCCCTGTGGTGCTTTGTCGGTACTAACCAAGCTCGTGTTGTGAACTCTGATTTAATTAACTAGTAATAGAATAACAGTACTAATCTGCCTTGTTTCGTGAGAATCTTCCTTAATAATTCTATTTGTTTTCATAATTGCAATCGAATGATCCCATTTAAGAGATTAAAGATACTACCCATCTCATTTTTTTCCCTTCATCCCTTAAAGCGTTAAGTATATAATCATTGGTGAAACCTAAGAGGATAAGCTTAATGAAGAAGAAGAAAAATCTAATGGTCAGTAGGTGGGTTTGCGACCATTAATTATCAGGGCATTAGCTTCTAAGCCCTTAGCGTGTCATGGGTGATTTTTATTTTACCCCTTAAAAACTTTATAACGTTTCGTGTTTTTCTTTTTTATAATAAAATGGAAACAGAACCTACCAGAAGACTTATCGGTCTCTTGTACCTAGGGATTTAAGATTTAGATTTTGAGGATGGGATCTAACGGCTAGCTTTTATCTAGAATTATCACTTGAAAAATGGCGGAAAAGAAGTTTATGTCGCCGACATGCAATAGCAATTAGTACATGAGTAAATAACCATTAAGAATACAGATGCCTTTGATACATGAATGGATCGATTGGATCATTCTTAGATATTTGTAGAAAACGATGGCCTTGATTCAGCATACACGTATGGACTAGAAATAGACACTTTCATATATCGGATGGGATGCTCGACAGTAAGCGTAACCTACAGCTAAAAGCTTTCTACTCTGAATTTATCAATTAAAGACGTATACATAAAATAAAAATAAATATACTAATAAAGTAACTGTCAATTATTATTATTTTTTACTATGATAAAAATCTCATGTTTTTTTCTACGAACATGAAATTTTGTTTTTTTCATAATTAGTGGATACTGAGTTAGAATACCAAAATTAACATAGAAAAATGTCCAAGCTATATCTTCTAAAAACCAATCAAATGGCTTATCGTTGAAACCTAATTGTTCCATGTATCAGAACTCGATCTCATTTATGGGTTTAATACAGATGATAGATATATGCATCCTTGTGAGTTAAAGCGTGCTTAATTTCGAGGCTGAAAAATTCGGACCAATGGCATGTCATCTCATACGACTATCCTTTCAAGGCTCCCATGAGGTGCATAGTGAGAATGGCTGCTGACCAGCATTTAGGTGGGAGTTATATTGATAATCAAAGATTCCACTTATGATGAGTTTGAAATTAAGGATGGTGAATATTTTTCTCAAAGTGGGGGATCTAAGAATTGGATATCTGGAATTTCACTTTGACCATATTAAAATAGTAGGGACTTCCTGTCATCCACACAAAAAAGTTCCCTCTAAACATAGTATTCTGTGAAGCAAATTCAGCGGTTCATGTCGCCCTCCAGCTCCTTCACCCGTGCTAGTTGGTAGTGGGTTTTAATCTCCATTTATTCTTCACAATTCTCCAGTTCTTCTAGCTGACTCCTCTAGACCAGTACTGATTACTAACCTATCCAATCATGTCTGCTTTAAGTCTCCTTGCCATCCCTTGATCATCAAGATTCAAAAGTGAGCCCACAATTTGATGTATATGCAATTGCCTTCGCCAGCGCCGTGTCTATAGTAGTTTAAAGTTGCTTTTCTTTTTGCTTGAGAATTGTTATTTGTATGCTTGGATAGGCATGATAAATTGGGAGATAAATACCAATTAAAAACTAAAGTTTCCTGTTTAAATCAAACTATTGGTTTTGGATTCATAACTGTAGTATTAATAATATGGTTCGAGTTATATTGTGCCATTAACGCTGATGACAAAATTGTGGGGGAAAAGGTCATTTTCGGCTTCAGTGTTTGACTCGAAGGTCATGGTCACGACTCGGACGCATGGTTGCTAAGTAAAATAATAGTCACACACCTTGGGTTACAAGAGGTACACGCAGCATCACGTTTAATGTTTGATAATGAGATACTTCTGCCCTACCAACCGAGGCACCCTAAGTTTAATCTCTTCCTTATCATCACCCCGAGACCTAGCGTCCCTGTCTCCTGATAATAAATGAGAAGGAATTTGATGAGTGGCTTTATTTTCTTATGGACATGGCTAGCAATCATAAAACCCTATCGTGTTTCCCGAATTCAATGACTTTCTGGATAAAACAAGTGTTAGTTTTCGAAGTCTCTCGTACTCTTTTTTTATTGTGTTTTTTCTACTTTTTTTTTTTTTTTTTTTTACATCTTAAGTTTATTTTTTTACATTTAGTTCGTTTCTTAATATATATCTATATGTTAAATTTTAGACATATATTTAGTTTGTTTCATCTTAAGTTTATTTTAGACTAACAGTGTTAATTTATTTTTTTAATCTTGTCTCTTTACTATATTTTTTGTTCTTAATTTTATTTTTTTTACTAAATTTAGATAAATAAATTTTAGAAAATAAAAAAAAATGGATGAAGATATATCCTATCATTATATCTAAAAATTAAAAATAAGAAAAAAAGAAAGCAAAGCTAAAAATTATTTTTTATCTAAAATAAAATTTTTTGGTTTAAATTTATCTCTATAATAGTAAGTAAGTTTTAAATATTAAATTATTTTTTAAAAAAAATATGAAGTGAGTTTAGTTAAATTTTTAACTTTTAAATGGTATTTATAATTTTATAATATCTCAAAATAGTCTACTATAATTTACTTATCTTGATTTTACAAATTTCTTAATTTGACTAAAAAATGAGAATATAAATTTTAGTCTAATTAATTAATTCCTTAATGTTTGGTCCAACACTAACAAAAAAACAAATTAAGAAAAACTATACATATCTCATATTTAAAATTTCCTTACTAACATAAAGATAAATTTAAACTTATAAAGAATATTTTGAATAAAAATTATTTTAGCTTCACTTTTTTCTTTTATTTTTTTTTCAATATTTAGAGAAAAAGAAGAAATATATCTTTATTTTTTCAATTTTTTCTAAAATTTATTTATTTAAATTAATAAAAAAAATTGTGACAAAAAAAAATTAAAAAAAAAATTAACACTATTAGTCCAAAAGTCAATAAATGAACAAGACTAAAACATAAATCAAACATAAATTGATGAATTTAAGATGAAAAAAATAAAAAAAAATGATAAAAACTATATATGTATCCCTACGATCATAGCTCCAAATGCAAAAAAAAGTCCCGTATGCCACTGCCGGCCATATTCTTTCAGGCTAAAAATTACTAGAGTTGCTTCCTGCCACATTCTTTCAGGCTAAAAGTTATTATAGATGCTCCCTGATTCCATAGAAGTATAAGTCTTCTGGCTTTCCTTTGCAATTTATACACATGATTGTCCCAGTGTTCTTGGATGTAATGATAATGATTTATCCTCTTTCCTTCTCTGTTGGGTTTTATATGCAAATCGTTCATAATTTGTAAATGTAAAATTCTGTCACCAAAAATGAACAGTCTGCACCCATCAGCCAGTGATTATTGTAGTTATGTACATATATCATTTAAGATCCCTCTTAAGTTTAAAAACCAAGTATATAATGTTGAACACGTTTATTATTTGTTCAATGACATAAATCATGTTTTTGTTTAAAAAAAAAAAAAATCAATTGTCCAACTTATATCAGGTACCACTTAATAACGGATGTAAACATAGTATTATATCAAGGGACAGAACCAATTATATTAAAAAACGCAATGCATACCATAGTCTATTAAACAGAGAACCATTCCCGTTAAATATTTATATCTTCTTCCCTGGGCAATCTAAAGATGATCTTAGTTTGACGCAAACCTCTGTGTTCTTGTTAAGATTCTGGATTCTCATTCGCTACTTATTCATTCTAGTGGTAACGTTGGAATTTTGATAAACAAAAGCGATTCATTCATTACATAGCCCCACTTATTTGACCATTGTAGGACTTTCTTGATTTGTCTTGGATTAAATTAAAGTAGTAAACATGAGTGGAGAAGTCTCTCGTTAGGACTTTACAATGCCTTTGAATTATTAATTATTCAACTCTCTCTCTCCCCCTCCCACCCCCAAATATATATATATATATATATATTGATGTAAAATAATGTTATTTATTCAATATAGTTCACTATGCACCATTAACGACTACATGTAAACGTGATTGATGTAAAGATTATGGCATCGAATTGGCCTAAAGAAAACCTTGCATTAATACTGAGTTCAGAAAATAATGATTGATCAACCTGACAAGGATAAAATGGTAAAATGAGAAAAGCCGACATTTGAGTCTCTACGCTTGTTCTCGTTCTCGGGGAAGAAACAGAAGATCAAAAGACTGAAAAAGAAAAAGAGAAAAAGCCTGTTATGTTTTTTTTTTTTTTTTTGAACTTACACAACTTTTGGTCTTATTCAAGACAGAATAGGAAAGAAATACAAAAAAGGAGGAGACGACGACGTAGCCAGGCACGCCACCACGCGCATATTAGCAGGGCACAGTTACATAATAATAATAATAATACAGGAAGTACACTCTTCCACTAAAAACTAAATAGAATCCCTGCTAAAATTGAAGGGCCTGTTAATTTTGTCAGGACTATCCCTCTCTTGGTTGGCTTGTCTGGCTCAGAGAAAGCCAAGTTACAGAGGCTCTTTGCCGAAGATAGAAACACAATCACCTGGGTCACCTGCTGTTTTTATCTCCATTGCTTCAGCACTATCATCCGACGTGGCTCTCAACTGTACAGTATTGGCCCACATTAAGTTGATACGGTACGGGGATTTGCTAAAATTAAGGAACGCAACGGTGAAAATTCCACCAGATCGTTGCAAGAGAGCGCACTTTTCTTTTTATTAACACATAAGAAGGCATTTGAGGGGAAGTTTTCAGGTACGTTTTCTTTTAATTTCCCGATGTAGGTTGTATAGCTAAAGCACTATTTGATATAACTGTATTATTATATTGTTTTTTTATTAGTAAAACTAGTATTTGGCAATTAATTGTTATTATTTAAAAAAATTATATTTTGCTCGAGAAAAATAGTTGATAGATCCCATAGTAAAATGTTTGTTTTTTTTTTTTTTTTTGTTGAAAGTAAGTTACCTCTTTTGACTGAAAAGGAAGAGAATATGGTTTCAAAATAGTATGTGCTTTATTTTCAAAACAAAATAGATTTCAACTAAACATTATTTTTAAACCGAAATGATAAAAGCAAATAAAAGTACTTGTACTTCAAAAGTACAGCAATATTAAACAAGCACTTAACTTGTCTATTATTCACCATCACGTACGTAAAATAAATAATGGTAAGGAGAAATGCGTTAGTATGACAACCTAAATCTGAAAATCCTGCTAGTCGAACATTCCAAATAAAACTCACCGACATACGATCCTAATTTAGGCACATTCCGCCGTTTAAGACCAGATCGTAGATTACACTTTTTTTTTCCTTACTTTTTTTTAGAGATGCAGAATTCTGAGTGCCACTTGAATGTGCAAGCAAGGACAATGAATTACGACTACATTATATTATTATTATAAAAAAAAAAACTAAAAGAAATGCATGTGAAACTATTCATTCACTATAGTTTTACACTTATTGTTCTTATTTATCTATTTTTTGTTGTTTCTTGATTCTCATTTCTTTAAGAAACAAATTAATTAGTCCATTTGGTTTGAAAACTAATTTTTTTTATACTTTTTATCATTTTACTATTTTTATTTTTTGTTTTAAGAAATAGAAAAAAAATTCATTTTTTGTCCTTTTTACATTTTACTATTTTATTTTTTGTTTTAAGAAATAGAAAAAAAATAATTCTTTGAGAAACAAATTAATTAGTCTCTTTGGTTTGAAAACTAATTTTTTTTGTCCTTTTTATCGTTTTACTATTTTTATTTTTTATTTTAAGAAATAGAAAAAAAAAGTAAAATATGAAAAAAGACATTTTATTTTTTGAAATAAAATTATCTCATCCAATCAAAAGTATCTTAGTATTGCATAAAGAGACAATGAAATCCTATGTTGGGTTGTTTTAGTAATCCTTATTCATTTTTAGGTAATTGTATAGATTAATGTGGGTGAAAAGAGAAAATAGAAAAATAAAAATAAATGTAACGAGAGAGAGGTAGAGATGGTTTTTGAGATAAGGAATTGGAAAGAGAGATGTGCAAATAAATTTCAATGATTCATAAAAGTAATAACTAGAGACCTCATTTCTTTTCACTTTTTTAGGACCACCATGTAGAATTAAGAAAATGGTAAATTGAAAGATTAAAAAAATTATCTTAGAAAAATAAATAAAAAGAAGTAAATTATGAAAAAAGATATTTTATAAAATAAAAAATAAATTATTCGTGATCAATACTGATTAAAAATTTAAATAATTTATTTTTGAAACCAAAAGAATTAATTAATTAATTCATTTCTCAAAATGAGATGAACTAATTGATAATTTAATTTGCAATTTAAGAATCTCTTTCATCATAAATTAAGAATTTATGAAAACCAATTTTATAATAGTTTTTATTTCAATTTATTGATTTTAATATATTTCATACGAGCTTAGATGGTTTTTTTTATAAAAAAAAATTTGTTTATACTATATATATTCTAAATCTATTGAATATGATCATAATATCTATTGAAAATTAAATATGTATTTGCATACATAACATCAATTATTTATTATTTATTTCTTTTTATGTTCTAAAATCAATAATTTTTAAATAAGATAATTGAAATAATGTTTTAGAATAACACCTCAATTATTCAAATAAAATTTTTTATACTAATATTATTGATTATTTTGTTTATATATATATATCAAATAATTTTTACATATTCGAATAGCTATAAATAGATTTGATTTATATTAATTATAAGAAATAAGATTTTTATATGTACTATGTCATATGAATTGTTAACTTTGTGTATATAACGGTTATTCAACTATAACGTAGTGCGGGTATTCAACTAGTAATAAATTAAAAGAGTTGGGGTTTTTTAACGGTGATAACATTGTTCACCCCCTCATAATGTATTGTTCACTCATATATATATATATATAATTTAAATTTATTTTTTTTATGAAAATTCTCCTCCAATTAATATTTTTATATATAATTTTATTTGTTGATAAATATAATTCATTTTACTCTATGTTTGAATTTTAGAATAAAATCTTAAAACATGATTGTTTTTTATTTTTTAAAAAATAAATTGTATATATCATGAATTCTTGGAATTTTTAAAAAATTTTATGAAAACACAAAAAATAGTAATAATTAAATAAAAAATTATAAAAATTTGAAATGATTTTGTTTTATCTATCTACAGCATTGCGTGGATAATTTCAAAAACTAATCTTCTCATCAGCATTAAATAATTTTTTTATTTGTTAATTTTTATAAAAGTCTACCATTAATTATAATTTTATTTTTTGTAATACAATATTATGAAAAATATATTTTTAAATTTTTTTTTAATTCTTGATTAATATTTTAGTTAAAATCAAATCATAAAGAAGAATGATTTATGTCTTTTTAAAGAAAAAGTTTATAAAAAAAATTAGAAAGAAATTAATTGAATAAAAATTATAATTAAAAAATTTTAAAATTTTAAAATTATTTTATTCTACTAAACCTGCAGCGTAGTGTGGGCAACCAACTAGTTATGAAACTAGAAAAGTTGAATGTTTGTATGTTTAAAAATGACCCCCCTCTGTTGGGACTCGATGACTTTCTTCACTCGGATTTTGTTGGAGTTGTAACACCGAGATTATGTCATTAATTCCTCGCTTGTGTTTTTTTTTTTTTTAGGTTTAGTTTTTGTATTCTGAAAAAAAAAACAACAAATATAAAGTATTATGTTTTTTACCCGGAAATAAAAAAAGATGGTTTAAATTTGTGTAATGCGCCACCTAAAAAATATGGAAATCAAAACGAGTTTTATCTCCATTGCTTCACTACTTGTCACCCTACCGTAGCTTGGTTTTCTTTCTCCTTCTTGAAATTATTTTTTCATTTAATATACAACCAAAAGATAGCATTTCTTAGATGCATAGAGTACTTGGTTATATTTTCTCAAGCGATAAATTTTTTTAAAATTACCTATATTCACTACATTTGTTTTGTTATTAATGGGGAAAATAGTATAAAATTACCAATTACATTCTTGCTTGCTAACCTTTAATTTGTCCTAAGTTTCCAATCAACACTATCACATGGAGAAAATTTAATTAATATATGTACATAATTAAACTCTCTTGTTTTTTTTTAAGCACTCTCATCTTATATTAGAAATATGACTAATTACGTTCAAAATGAGAATAACAAGATTTAATTCCTCACAATAAGTATGAATTTAGAATTGAAACCTTACACATTGATCAAAATGCTCTTAGGGATTGGCTCGCTTACCACTAAGCCAATAATTTATTAGTAATTAATTTTAATTCTTTTAACTATTGCCCTATCGTTTTTAGATTTTTCCTTATAAAGCTAGCCACGTTGTCTATGAAATAAAATTAACAAATTTACACACCAATACATCCTAAATTCTAATTTTAATTAATATATGTATGTAATTTATGGTAGGTATTATCTTATCTAGTAGTTTTAATCTTTTTTATAAAATTAATATAGAATTTTATTGAAGCCTTGTGGTGATTTTTTTAATTATAGGTTTTGATCATTTACCAAGATTTCATAATTCAAATTTCAATTTTTCTTAAGATCGTGAAATGCATTTATATTTGTAATGTTTTAATCACAATTATTCATAGTGATCTCAAGATTTAAGTTAGAATTCATATTATGAACCTATTGCATCCTAAGTCTACAAGCTTGTCTTGTAGCCTACAAAATGTATTTAGGATCGGGTTGCGAGGGTTGATAGTTTCTTCCTTTAAGTCTTTCATTTGCAATTTTGCAATTACCTTTTTAGTTTATGCGGAGTTACAATTACAACTTTCGGTCCTCATAATGTTTGTACTTATAGACTTGTAGCTATAGCTTCTAGTCCCTGCAAAGTCCGTACATGCAAACTCGTAAGTGCAACTTCTAATCCTTATAGAGTATGTACCTATAGACTTATAATTATAGCTTCTAACCCCTACGGAATCGGTGCTTACAAACTTTTAATTGGAGTTTTTAATTCTTGTAGAATCAATGCTTGCGGACTTGTGATTGGAGCTTTCAATTCTTGTAGAATCAATGCTTTCAACCCTTGTAGAATCGGTTCCTATAAACTTATAATTAGTGCTTTTAATCCCTACATAATCTATATTTATTGGACTTGTAATTGGAGCTTCCAACATCTTTAGAATCAATACTCGTGATTCGGACTTGTGATTAGAGCTTCCAATCCTTGCTGAATTAATGCATTCGGACTTGTGATTAGAGCTTCCAACTCCTACAGAATCAATGCTTGCGAGACTTGTGATTGGAGCTTCCAACCCCTACGAAATCATGTTAGTATAGGTGCACAAAATCCAACTATATTTGGATAGGTTTAAGTTATTGTAATATTGCATCATTTATTTTATTAATAATAAAGAAGTCTTTTTATTAATTCTCATATCTTATATTGATTGAGTAGAATTAGATAGAAGTCCTTATAATAGATATTTACATTAGTGGTTAATCGAAAGATGTGAGATAAAACTAATACACATAAATGATATCATTAAATGTCACAATTTGTAATATTATCAAGAATGGACATTGACTATATGCAATTAAACTTGTGAGTGTTATTCTC